CGTGGAGCCCACGGCGTGGACTAAATAAGGATGGTGCGGAAAAATTGTCCAGAACAAAATCATGTGAGGTTGTCCAAAGCCCAGGGACAAACCTTGAGGCTGTCTGGAGAATTCTCAAGGCCTCGAGCAAAAACATTGGGAATTCCAATGCAGGAGGCACTTCTCGCCTTCAGGGCATGGTGGATTGCAACTGCCAGTGGCACATTCATAATTGGGACCGCCCAGGGCACGGAGTTGGGCGTCGCATTGTGGTATGATGGATAGCAGAGCAGACCAAATGACGGTGATCAGGGAAGTGTAGGTCTTGACCATTTTCGATAATAACCTGCGTGAGAGATTGAGGATGCTCCATAGTCAGCACGCACGCATATGATCCATGACGCGTTGCTTTCTCTGTAGCTTGATCATGCGCACATCATAATGTGCCGAGCCGCATGTAACTGTTCGCTAGTTCGGCGTTCTTGCTGTTCCGTAGTTCATCCTCGGGCACGCGCGATCTCCCTTCATTGCTATTCGCTCGCCGTTTTGAGAGTTTAGTATGCAGGGTAAATTCAGATTTTCAAGGGAAATCGTGAATAGTCAAGTATGATGGGACGTGCTTCGCTCCGCCGTGAAGCACTGTCCCTATTATCTGTGCGATCCTTTACTGTGTGCTACAGACCATATTTGTGGGTTGTCCGTGAAAACAGTGAATCTTGGAAATGGTGAACCGGAAAAATTTCCCGCGAACCCGGATAACAGTGAAGGAACTACCGCGCGCCACGGACGCGCGCCAAGTTGGCGCCGCCAATAAAATTTAAGCCGAGATCCCCTTACGTCGTATATGTTGTAATCGAGCGGTTGGTCTAGCGGTTAGGCGTCAGGATTTAATAACGACTATCCAAGGTTCAAATCCCGCGATCATCATGGTAATTTTGTAATTGAGATGGTTTTTGCTGGGACGCGGTTGAGGTATTGACCAGCTCGGGCCAAATGTTGGCCGCCCTTGGTTTGGTTGCCGCTGGGGGCGGAAGGAGGAGGCGACAAGGTGCGAGCCCGCTTAGTTCGGGTCCTACTAGCCACTCCAGACATGGTTGGAAGGGAAGTAAGTACTAAGACAGCAGGAAACAGAGAGTGTAGTAAAGTAGGCAAGACAAATAGAGAGAGTAGCAATATTGCACGTACTCAAGACAAACGGATACGCAGGTACGCAAGCACAACTGGCGCAAGCCAGCTGATGCGCATGCGTGCCGCTGCGGCACTGCCGCACAAAAGCATCAGCATTCTCCGCCCCCCATAGCATCCCGCTTAGCAGCTCTGCGAGCAGCTCTGCGAGCAGCTCGATGCGCGCTGTCTGCAGACTGCTGAGGGTCATTACAGCTGGAGAAACTGCGGGAGCCCACGCAGGAGCCTTACGCGCAGGCTGAGGATCAACAAAGCGGTCATCCACGGCGTCGCCATCGATATCAGTGACCTTCGCGAGGTTGAAGACATACTGCACCTCATCTGATTCGCCGAGTTGGGCACACTCAGGACGCACTCGAGCAATTTGGGCACGTATTTCCATGACCTTGTACAACCGAGAAGACCAGGACATAGCCCGCTTCGTAGCCGGACGGTATACTCGGACAATATCCCCGGAGGTAATTGGATCACCCACGGGTTGGCGACAGCGCCGAGGGGCGTCGAGGTTATCGAGAAGACGCAGGCGATGAATGTCCCAGTCACGGAGATAGTCCTTCAAAGAGCGAGTCACTTCGGCTTGTCGTACCTGGCGAGCATGTAAGGCCTTACGAGAGAGAGGCATCGACAAAGTGTCGTTCCAGGTAAGCTTTGAGCTCCTCAGACATGGCCCCCACCGCTCTCCAAGAAGGAGGAGGGGCCGAACCACATAGCCGAACTAGCTCGCAAGGTGTCAGATTCTCGCCATCCGAACTGGCCAAAGGCAGAATTGCATGGTTACATACCCAAACAGCCTGCTGCAGGTAACGAGGCCAATCCATCTCTGAAGCTCCATTCGACGCCAACAGCTGCCGTAAGGACAAGTGGAGTAGATGATGACCAGGTTCCCACCAAGCCCGAATACAGCCATAAGGGGGGTGAGTCACTTGCAGCACCCCATATCTCTGACAGAGAGCTTGTACCTCACCCTTACTGAGAGCGAGGTCTGCGTCAGTAGCCAATGCCCTTGGGAATCCGAACTCCCAAAGAACTTGCTCCAGCACTCGACTTACCACTTCCCCGTTTTTAGATGGAAGCTCTCGGGCCACCATATATCTAGTCACCGATTCCGTCAAGATGAGAGAGTAGGACGGTACACTAGTCATACCGTTCGTCGATGTAGTACCAACATAAGGTCCACCGATATCCACGGCTAAGAGCTCCCATAATTGGGAGCATACTTCTGAACTTTTCGAGTTTCGAGGCTCGATCTCGAATCGATTCGGTCCCAGAGGTTATACAATCGATTGGTCCAATATCGATACCGGTAACCGAGAATCGATCTCGAATCGATTCTTTCGATTTAGGGGCGCCGGTTCGATCCAAGGCTCCGGCATTTTTATGTATTTTCTATTTCGAAAAGTTGCGCACAATGGAACCACTGAAACCCGGCACCTGCTCATCCGCGCCCCTAGATTCGTCGCCCCTAAGGTACTCAATCCGCCCCTAAATTGCCCAATCTGCCCCTAAATGACTCGTACCGGCCCCTAACTTTTCAAGCTACCCGAGCGTCCCTGAAGCTTCACTGCAAGCATGTCACGTGGCTTTGTTGACTGCCATGACATCTTGAGGAAAACTCATGTGCATCACGCTTGACCCTGGCCGTCTGAAAGATACATGTTCGAACTTGACCAGCCACTGGCTTGAACGTTTCGAAACCTTGGCCGACGCAATGATCAATCTAGTTTCACATCGTTGTGTTGAGCCGTGCTATCTACTGATCTTGGCCGGCGGCCAATGGCCGCCCTGAACACGTACTGAGCGTACTGAACTCCACCACGTAACTACATTTATTAGCTAAGCATACTGGTATGGGTCACTGAGACAGAAACTGTCAGTCTCAGAGAAGCTGTAACGATAGCGGATGACTCATCCAACTTTAGAACGCATGTGGCATATTTAGGGACGGATTGAGTAATTTAGGGGCGGGGCGAAGAATCCGGATTTTTGAACCTATGCTATATGCGATAACTATTAGAGTTATTAGGCTACTTAGTAGCCGCTACTAGGGATATTGAATTTGCGGTGTGGATTATGCTCAGAAATAGTATTTGGATAATCTTCTTCTGAATTACCGAAGAACTATCTCGAGGGTTCGTCGAGGCTCGAGGCAAACGCGCAATCTGACCGAACCCGGGGAATACCATCCTTCCGACCCGGGGAATCGGCATCTGCAGAATATCTGGCTGTCGCCGCAATTGGCAGCGTGCCACAGCAAAGCGACTCGCCTCGGGCGAACAGCAAGGTCGTGCGCGGATATTCAGTATCTCGCTGATGGAGTCTATCCGAGTCAGATAATCAGACAGCCTCCCAGTGCCTGTGGCTATCAACTGAGCGGTCTAGCCTCGACCCTTACTTTTTCTTCTCGTGGAAGTGCTTTGCTAAAGGCATCCTGAATTGTTGCAATAATATGACAGGTGCTGTAGACCCTATAAGTAACCCTCAATGCTGACGTAGGAGAGCATTTCAATGAATTTCGAATTTCGAGGTGGATCGATTCCTCGAATCGAATCGATTCGTCTGCCCGCCGCAGCATCCTCGATTGATTAGCACCGAACAATCGATCGATTTTCGATATCTCGATCCAATCGAGCCTCGGTCCGATGTATGATTGGGAGGATCGCAGCTGCGACCCAAAGGCAGGAGGTTCAGCTCTACGGCGCCTGCTTCTAACACACACCTCGCAGGACATGGTGGCCTGCCGAAGTCGCGAACCATCTTGGGCCAGTATAGATGGTAGAGCTTGAGAACTATGCCGTAGAGCTTATTAGATCCTGGATGAGCATACAAATCGTGCAAGATGCTGATCACCACCGAGCGCATCGCCAAGGGAACGTAGTATTGACTCCCGCAAACCGCATGGGACCTGCAGATATTCCCATCCTTATCGATGACATATGTTCGTCGTATACGGCGTATACTATACGCTGAACCTCGGTGGCCGTGAGCTCTACCGGCTCATGTGCCAGAATCCTTCTGATCTGCTTGCAGTGGGGGTCGGAACCTTGGTCAGTTAGGACTTCGTCTACCAAGCTCCTGACAGTCACGTCATCATCTGATGATGATCATCACCTCTCTCATCACCCCATGAAGAACCAGCCAGCAAATCCACGTCGAACCGGACATCCGACGGCACAGAGTCAGATGATGCGAGCCGTTGTCGTATAGACTCGAAATTCTCCCGGAGACTGGCGACCGTGGACTGATAGGCTTCCTCATCATATGAATTAGGATACAGAGCACGCGATGCACAGTCTGAGGGGTTCCCAGTACCCTTAACATGACCGAGGACCACCGGAACGTCTTTCAACCACGAACGCAGGACAGCAATGGTGCGCACATCCCACGGAACCAGTTTACTGGAGATACTGCCTTTAGAGGTGAGACGCTGCACATTAATGGAGCTATCACTCAGCAGGATAATCTTCTCGACCTTGGGGTCCTCCGAGAGCACGCTATCGATAGTCTTGCGGGCCTCCACCAGCGCGTAGAGCTCTAACCTCGGTATGGACCAGCTCTCATGTCCAACATCATGGAGACCGCCCCGTGGGTACAGTCGCGTGCCATCGATGTCCGTAACTGTGCAAGCCCAGCCTACAAGAGATGCATCACAGGCAACCACCAGCGTGTCCCCCTGCACATATCGCGGGGTCCCTACCGTTCTGGCGTAAGCATCTTGTAGCAAATAAGCTCGACGTACGAGATCAGGAGCAAGAGGATCGTCCATGGTCTTGCCAGCACGCACAGCCGCCCGCATCAGCAACCTACCGGCCATGGCTTCCTCTAGGACCTAGAGTCTAGGTATAGGCCCAAGGGGTCAAAGTGAGAATCTAGCCCTGATATATTGCATATCATATATAGGATCGCAACGTTATAGAGCGTGCATCTCCTCGCTCGGCCTTGCCCTCCAAGGGCGGAGCAGGAACGATTGCCAGACAATCTTCTTTCGAATCCCACTGAACACCAAAGAGGGTGCCAGCTTTGTCCCCTGAGGAGTCGGTACCATTAACTCTGTTCTGCAGGCGCTTCGATTCCTGCTCGGAGAAGCCGTTTCTGACAACCACTCGATGAACCCCATCTGCCAACATATCCCTATCGCAGCGGGTCTCTGCACCCTGAGCTATATCATCCATGAACGATCGGACACAGTAGGGACCGATATCGAGCTCAGGGGCAACTTCATTGTCGAACTCTTGGAGGGTGACCCGCATAGAGGTCTGCAACATAGAAGGAAAAGCAGGGAGGCACATAGCGGCTCGAAGTAACATATACCACCTACCCTCCCAATAGTAGCCTTGCGCTCCACAATCAGAGCAGACAATAGCTTTCTCCAAGTCAGCTAGCGTGAAGTACGCATAGCGACGGAGTACTAACAATGGTGACACCACCGATCGATCATAAATAACACCGGAGGACACATAGCCCCGCAAGGTAGAGCCGTCCAGAATTAATCGTAAAGGAGTTGTTGAAGATGTGGCTTTTCGCACGACGAGCAGACCGTATGCGTGATTTATCTCCTCCTCCGAAGCTTCTCGAGAGTAGCCCCGTTGCACGAGCATATCAAGCTGCTTACAACACTGACCGTAGGCCTCAGGATTCCTTTTCAGCCTTTCTGACAGCTTAACAGACATCTTTTTAGCCCTCCTTAGCGAACGTCGTCGGCTTGGCCGTGCCTCGCTGACCCATGGAATCCTGTGTACATGTCGCTAGACCGGCTCCGGGTGAGAGTTCGGCAAACCCTCGACATCTCGAACAATGTCGACTAGGGTGTCCTCGTTCTTGAGGGGTTTAGCAGTGCAAACTGCCGTATCCTGGCCGAAGTCTGCCAAGGTCGCTTCAGTGCGACGAGAGATGGCCTCTATGGCGGCAGCCACTGGGAACAAAGTCCCCTCTTGAACCGTAGCGACTTCATGCGCCTGCGGTGTCAGCTTTAACGTGAAACGCAGTCCACGCAAGAAGTCCATACCACATATAAGTGCATGCGAGAGGTTATCAGTGACGAAGAACCACCAGGGATGAGCCACACCATCTCGAGACACTTTCAATAAGACTTGCCGATTCGTATGGAAGGTAGTGCCATTAGCGCATTTGACCTTCAACGACTGACAGGTACGCTTGTAGTTGTGCACCACAGATTTATTAATTTTCAACCAAGCATGACTCACGAAGCTCCTTCCTGCTCCAGTGTCTGGCAGAACGGACACTGTAGACTTCTTGGAAGGGTCGCTGGAGTCTGCTTCATACAAAGTCAAATCATACATGAGAACCTCAGGAACAGCAGCTGGAGGCTCACTGTCATCAGAATTGTGATTGTTCAATTGTGTCGTCCTCATCGCATGGCACCCGAGAAACTCTTCTAGAGTCTCATCATCCTCGGATTGACCCGACGACTGAGACGAATCAGATAACGCATCACGGGCTACCGCGGCCT